ATAAGTGATATCGGAAAGTCCCCGCTGCCATATTAAGATCAGATAAGAAGAGTGATAAGTTGCCTTTATATAACATAGTTAGGAGAGTACTAGTCTAGGTTTTTGATCTATAATTCTCTTCACTAACATCATACTTCAATTCACATGTGCGTTTCTGTTTACAGAAACATTTACAAATATTATTGTGGTCATTTAGGATATTTTTGCAATGTATGTGTTAATACAAAAACTAAAAACGCACAAGTGTTTACATTAATCATGTACTTTCCTAAGCGCGCCTCGGCCATTTTATACCCCCTTTTTCTACGACCTAAATAACACAGCTGGACTTTCCGATATCACTTATTTACGGCGTTTCCGACAACAGCCGCCAACAAACTCACTCACCCGTGTATTCCTCCGAGCAGACACACGAGTAGTTGCCGGGATGGTTGACGCACGTCGCCGCGCCGTGACACGCATGCAGCGCCCCCTGGCACTCGTCCACATCGTCGCTGCACCAGCGCCCGGCGTAACCCGTCCCTGTGCAGTTACACGCGATCTCCTTCGTCGCCGCGGCAACAGCGCAGCCGCCGCCGTTGCGGCACGGACTGGCGACGAACGGCGGACAGACGCACGTGTAGGACCCCGGCGCGTTTACGCACGCGGCCCGCGGACCGCACGGCTCCGCCTCCTCCATGCACTCGTCCACATCCCGCTCACAGAGCGCGCCGGCGTAGCCCGTGCCGGCGCAGTCGCACGCGTACGACCCCGGCGCGTTGACGCACACGCCGCGCACGCACGCCGCGCCGTCGCTGCACTCGTCCACATCCCGCTCACAGAGCGCGCCGGCGTAGCCCGTGCCGGCGCAGTCGCAGTTGTACGAGCGAGAGTGGGTCTTGCAGCCGGGGGCGCGCACGCAGCGTGCGAGCTGGCACGTCTCATCGTGCCAGCCGCACCGCGCGACCACGTGGTGGCAGCTGCACAGGCCGACGTACGAGCACGTTCCGTTGTTCGCGCACGGCGCGCTGTAACACGCGTCCATCACCTCGTCGCAGAGGGCGCCGCCGAAGCCCGGCTCGCACGCGCAGGTGTAGGTGGCGACACCGTCCACGCAGCGGCCGTTTGCGCAGCGGTGGTCTGCGCAGTCGTCGATGTTCGTCCCACAGAGGGCGCCAGTGAAACCCACCGCGCAACGACATGCGTAGCCGCCTTGTTCGCCGCCATCGCCCGTCTCGCACGTTCCGTTGTTTACGCAGGGCGACGAAGAGCATCCCCTGATGTCCATCTCGCAGTTGACGCCAGAGAATCCCGCCACGCACTCGCAGCTGTATGCGGCAACGAGGTCCAAGCATGTTCCGTTGTTTTTGCACGGCGCCCCCGCACACTCATCTGTCTCCTCCGCACAGGTGGCGCCGCTGTAGCCTTCGGCGCACGCGCACGAGTACCCCGGGAAGAAGTCGCCTGCCGTCGCGCTGTCGATGCACGTTCCGTTGTTTAGGCATGGCGAAGATTCACACTCAGCAATGTCGGTCTCACAGAAGGTGCCCTCCCAGCCCGGCGTGCACTCGCAGGCGAACGCCGCGGCGGCGCCACCGTCCGACCAGCACGAGCCGCCATTTAAACACGGCGATGACTCGCAGCGGTCGACCGCCTCCTCGCACAGCGCCCCCTGGTGGTGGTCGGCACACACGCACGTGAACCCGCGCTCGTCATCCGCGACACACGTTCCGTTGTTTTGGCAGGGGGCGCTGGCGCAGCGGTCGACCCTCTCACAGAGTGCGCCGGTGTATCCGGCGGCGCACTCGCAGCTGTAGTTGCGGGCGTCAGGCCGGCAGGTGGCGCCGTTGCTGCACGACGCGTTCAGGCACCAATCGTAGTCCTCGCAGCGGGCGCCGCCGAACCCGGAAACACAACGACAAGTGAACGTCGCTTCCGCGTCGCTGCACTCTCCCTCGTTCAGACACGGGTCGGACGAACATGCCGAGTATCTCTCACACGATTGGCCGACGTACTCCCGCGGACACACGCACGAGTACCCGCCCACGTCGTCCACGCACGTTCCGTTGTTTCTACAGGGGGCGCTGGCGCAGTCGTCGACGTCGTCCCCGCACGTTTTTCCGGCGAATCCCGGCCGACAGAAACAGTCGAAGTCGCCCGGGAACACGGACACGCACGCGATCGTGCTGTCCGGCCAGCAGGGGGCGCTGTCGCATGCGGCGGCGACGTCGTCGCACCGGGGGCCGGTAAACCCCTCGGGGCACGCGCACGTGTAGCCGCGATGCGAGTCCACGCAGGTGGCGCCGGTGGCACAGGCGTGGTCGGCGCAGTCGTCGACGCTGACGTAGCATCCGTCGCCCTGCCAGCCGGGCCGGCAGTCGCAGGCGTGGGCGTTCCACACGTCACGACACGCGGCGTTCGCGGGACATGGGTTAGACGCGCACGCCGGTCGCCCGGTGCATCCGTCACCGGCTCCTACAAATACAGTGAGAGTATAGCGAGGTCAGAGTAAGGTCAACCACGCCCGGTGCATCCGTCACCGGCTCCTACAAATACAGTGAGAGTATAGCGAGGTTAGAGTAAGGTCAACCACGCCCGGTGCATCCGTCACCGGCTCCTACAAACACAGTGAGAGTATAGCGAGGTCAGAGTAAGGTCAACCACGCCCGGTGCATCCGTCACCGGCTCCTACAAATACAGTGAGAGTATAGCGAGGTCAGAGAAAGGTCAACCACGCCATGCAGGTGAGTGATGTAATTATATTTAGTTCCAACATATTATTATTCCTTGGACATGTGTGAAGAAGAGGCCTGGATTCTTTTCCTTCAGTTCCAACCTATATACCTATTATATTACGAGTTCCTATGCACGCACTCACGCACACACGCACTCACGCACTCACGCACGCACGCACTCACGCACGCACTAACACACGCACTAACGCACGCACGCACTCACGCACGCACGCACGCACTAACGCACGCACACACGCACTCACGCACTCACGCACCCACGCACGCACGCGAGACAACACCACCAGAGCGAACATTGAGAAATATTGAAAACCACGTCTGAGTCAAACTAACTAAAATTACCTACTTATAATTAATTAATGCTACCTTAATTACCTAACTAAAATTACCCATGTATTTAGAACAATTTACCAATATATTTAATCGCTGAGAAGCTCAAAGAAACATAGACCACAGCTCACCCGATACTGCGTTGCTCATGTCAATCTGGATTCCGTCACCAGGTAGCGCTGCTCCCAGTAAGAGCATCCTGCCATCGAGCGTGACGTTACGAATGCAGCCGTGCATAAATCCACTGTAGTGACCTGTGATGTAGAGGTCATCAAGTTATACATGAACAAAGTCATGAATAATAAACGCTTGACAAAAAAATATACTTTTGTGCGAATAATAAACGCTATCCTTGAACAACGCTCGAAACTTTCTAAATTAGTTAACTGCTTGTGCCTTTGTTCAAATTAAAATTTTTCCGTAATAACGTCAATCACAAATAACACATAAAAAATTATGTAAATAAAAATATTTTTACAAATTCATACATATATAAATCTGTCCAATCATGTCATAAGCTTTCCACGCATGATTACTGCAGATCTTCCATAAATGAGTCAGGGCATATTTTCTTCACACATTTGCAATTGCGTAATTGTGCATTTTATCTAGCTTACTAAACTCATTAGCTTAAATACAGCACGACCACAACAGCCAATATCGCCTTCATGTAATGTGTGTCAAATAGCTATGTTAGTGTCTGTCATAAAACACGATAAATGTTAGCAAACAAACATTTTCCAAAACATTTCTGCATATTTTTACATCATTGCTCCACAATGCACTATTTAGCCTGTGATGCACTATTAACCCAGATCTTCGCTAACGACGCTAATCGAGTTACGTCGTCGTTGCCATGGTGACGATACCTAGCGCGAGAGGATCTGCTCCTACGTGTAGCTTGACGATGGGTCCGCGGGCACCGATGTACACACGCAGGGCGTGTCCGAAGCTCGCTGTGTGGTTGCCGTCGACAACGATGGTGACGCCTGTGTCGGAGAATGTCCATGCGAGCGTGTGCCACGCACCATCGCTGACAAGGGAGGGAAGCAAGTCCAAGCTACTCTGAACTGTAATGAAAACACGATTGCGATGTTATTATAACATGCGCCAGCGATCGTTTTTAATATTATAACGAAACAAAAACAAAAAAACAAACATGCACCAGCGATGCACGTGTAACATGCGAGACTGTATCACGCTGTAATTTCATGTAATGTAATGGAATGGAGTCGACTGGAACGGAATGGTGTGAAATGGAACGGAATTGTAGTGTAATGTAAAGTAATATATTGTAATGTAATTTATTCCCTTGCGCCGTCGATGAAGCAGGAATTCCACGCTGCTACACACATTATCACAATTACTACTTATACAGTCGCCAGTGACAGCCTTACGTACATGTCATGTATGTAGAACTGTAGATAAACACGCTCTGCTTAGAGACTGTTGCTATATCAGTCAAACTAGGCCAGTTTATGTGTTAGTCACGCGAACATGCAGAATTATTGACATCACGACATTTCATAACTGTCTATTAGAATCTCAGCATTGATTGGCTCCAGCTGCCTATCAATCATGCCAGGTGAATAGGTCAATCGACTTGTACACTGTACAACATAAAATAGGTTAGCGAAAGACAATAGTATATGTCCCTGTAGTAATTACATACGACCTATAGCTATGGTCCTTCATATGAACATCTTGTTGGTGGTTATGTACATCTAACAGTAATATAGATAGTAGAAAGTATAAATATAAATGATATATAATGTAAATACATATAATAAGTGAAGCTTACGTGTGCCTGCCTTGTAGGTGCTCACTAGCAGACCGGAATCCACGATCTGCACGTTCATCGAGTATTCTAGGTTCCCGCTACCCCCGTATGCCTCGAGCACCAGCAGGGGCGCCTCCACGTCTCGCGTGCGGAACTCCAGCGAGCCGCGGTCGCCGAACGCTGCGACTGTCGTATCCACGGCAACGTACACGTAGCTGTCGTCTCCGCTCAGTGTGAACGCACGCGCTGAAAAATGAAGATGTGAGAGACGATTAGAATTAAAGATGCCATCGTCAGTTCACGCTCGTGACTACTGCAAGATTACCTTGTGTGCACACAGACTTTTATGTTCTTAATACCTGGTTCCAGTAGCTGCAGAACGTTTAACGATTGTACAACCTTGTACAAACATATATATTTAACAATTAAAATTGTTTTAATTAGGTATTTTTTTTTATTTTATTACTTATTACGACATTATATTATTATACTATTATTATCACTTAATTGTACTCATTAGTTTATTTATTTTCATTGTTCTGCTTATTTAATTTTTACAATCAAATATATACTAACCAACGTAAACGACATAAACAACAACGACATAAACAACAACGACATAAACAACATTTACCATATTATCCTCGACACTTGTTAAGCGTGAATTTTATATTGTGGTGGTTTTCGTGGAACGAACTCCCATCGTTACACGGCAATCACTGCGTTTTCCCTGTACAGACCCTTCTTCCCATTCTTCTTGCTTTATCGCATGCTAGAGCTAGATTCGCATCCCGACTCACCCTTGTCGCAGGTTTCCCCCGTCAGGTGTGGGGGGCACAGGCACCGCGGCCCCGCCCACGTGCCCTCGCACGCCGCGCCGCCGCCGCACGCGTTGCGATCGCAGTTCCTGTCCGCCGAGCATCCACGCCCAGCCGCCGGCGGATCGACGCGGTCGCCAAGGTAACCGCGGGCAGACGCGAGGTTGACCGGTCGCCTGTTCACAGTGAGGTTGCGCGCACACCCGGAAAACCTGGGAACGAGAAAACGACATTGTGGATTATAGGTAAGACGTACTGCAAAACTTGCATGCATCAGAATCAGGGGAAAAATTACGCGGGAGCTATTTTTCAAGTCTGTGGAAAAAAGAGCTCTCGTCAAAAATTTTACGGGAGCTATTTTGAGCCTCACGGGAACGATTTCGGAGGTTTGAAGAGCGAATCGCTCATCGCTCCCGCGTATTTTTTACCCTGATCAGAATACAGATTGTAGTAACATAACCGCAATAATAATTGCGTAATTAGAAGGTATGACAATCAAATGTTAATCGTCTACCTATTAACGATGACTAACAACAGTTATAATGAGTTAAATATATAATTACAAATAATTAACGTAATATCATGACATTACCGTTCTCCTATAATCCCTACATGTTCCAAAACGCAAACATTCAGAAGTAGATCCAAATGTTCGACTATGCAATTCACAACTACTGGTGCAACAACTATGTTACTTCCACACTGACTTACACCTAATGAATCATGTGGATATCTGCTAGTTTTGGCATCAAGACTACATGATTAACGAGCGATTATTTCACTGTTAATTAATGTCATCTTAATAATCATTAACTAATAATAATTAAAAATCAAATAATTAATTGAAAAATTAATTAATAATTAATAATCATCATAATTGCCGCGATGCAGCTACGTGTGCGTGCGTACCCTGCGGTCGCGGGCAGCCTGAGCCTCCACATGTCGGCCGTGGCTGCAGGATGCACGACTCCCAGGAAGAGGGGATAGCCGACGGCTAGCGGGCGTGGTGTGATGGCGACGCCCTGCGCCATGACGCTCCCCGACGCGTCCTCGACTGTCACGGGAATACGACGGTCAGAGTTAAAATGATTACGTCACCGTAAATAGTCAAAGTAAAAAAATTATATCCACTTTTTCACAAAATGTAAGTAATTCTGTTCACTTTTTATGGTTGAATTGCTGCATTATACTTCCTATTTTACTATATTGTTCGACGTAAACATACACATGGCCCATAGCAAGCAATTAATGTCAGGATCATAATATCAAATCGTCCAGGTTTTTTTGGATTTTTTTAACTAGTTGAGAAACAATATCTTATCCGGTAAGAATTTGACGATACATTTAGTCCCGTTAGTACTTACTTTTAATGTAAAAAAATGGCAACAAAAATTTAAAAAATATCCACCATAGGAAATTTGAGACATTTCAATTTGACAGTCAATTTAACACAGAGTTCGAGCAGGAGATAAAGCTTAAAGAGCGTCATTCCATTAGCTGAGAGAAAGACTGCCATTTGTTGTGTTGCTATCTCATGTGTAAACAAGTTCTCGTGAAAAGATTGGTTCTTCCTAATCAAAAGGTTCAGATACCTGCACATTTACATATAAAATAAATCACATATAAGAAGGGTTTGTGTTGCTACTACAGATAGTTGTAGTGTGTGTGTGCGTGTGCTTAAAAGACAATTATATCAGGATATATCTCACATATCTATCATATATACCTCACAACACTTGGATTGTGTGGTGCACAAATGCAAGTAGCTTATACCAGACGTGCGTGAGAGGTATGACGAAATGATGGTATGTAGCATTTAGTGTGCAACATGTGCGCGAACCGTGTTAACACGTATTGTGTAGTGTGCAGCGTATGCGCGTACCTTTAACTATGATGTGGTCCATGAGAGCTTTCACGTGTAGCGTATACCAGCCGTTAGTGAGCTGATAGTCTGTCAGGTTCACGCGTACCTCCCCCGCTAGCGTCAGCACGATCACATGTACCGACGCATTCACCATGTACACTGCTAGCTGACTGTCAGAACCCAGCTGTAACAGATCAAGTATTGTTTGCTACTGCTAATGCTGGTTACACTGTTAATGCCAGCTATACTGGTAATGATGGTTACTGTTAATACAATAAGGTTCTAACACATCGCGAACTACATGAGCCTATCAATTATACTAAGAAGTCACCAAGTTAAACCTTAGCATAATTCTAGAGACATTCCCCCCAAAAATAGTATTAGCATATAACATCGCATTGACAGGTGATAATTTGAGAATGGTCGCTAAGACCTTTGTCACATAGAACTTGGTTGGTAGAACCTGTCGTCATAGGAACAAGTGCAGCAATGGCGGCAGCTTTATTTACGAGGTAAAAAATGCACAATTAACACATTTCACGTAATGAATGCTGCTGCTCATAAAGGTAGCATACTAAACGTATTGGAAATAAAAATTATATAATGTAAAACAATCAAAAACAAATGTAAAAGGTAAATTTTACAGTTCCCAAAAAACAAAAAATGCCTGCTGCCTTAAATTTTGCACATGTAGAACGAAAATTTAGGAGTTTTTTAAGAGATAAATGAAGTGAGTGTCACGCGTACCGTGTACAGCAGTGATCCAGGTCTTTCAGGACTGGCAAGCGTCACAGACACTGTGACCTCATCGATGACATCAGACCAAAGCGCAGCATCCCTCTTCCGCTCCTCATCCCTGATCAGCGCAGCATCCCTGCTCCGCTGAGCATCCTTGCTCCTCCCAGCATCTGTGCTCAGCGCAGCAGCATCCCGCGACATCTCGGGGAAGTGCAGGAGCGATCTGTTCGTGAATGTCGCGCTCGTCTGGAAGCTGCAGTCGTCACCTGCACACGAATCGCACATGAAGGTGTCACGTTAAATTGACTACGTCACGAATTTTCTACATGGTGTCAGGGTTCTCCAAGCTTTTTCATCATAGCATGGCGGGTGCTGCCTTTACGGTCCTAGTTGCAAATCGCCAAAGGCGGTTTGCGTGCTAGGGGGGTCTGGGGGCTATGATATTTAGAATGGCGGCTATGATATTTAGAGTGGCGGATGCATTTTAGGATGGCGGGGCTCGACGATAGCCTGGCGGGCCGCCAGGCTATAAGTGCTCTTGGAGAACCCTGGGTGTATATTTGTACAATTTTTGTTGCAATTTTTTTACATGAAAAGTAAGTAATGATGGGACTAAATGTATCCTCAAATTCTTACATAATAAGATTGTTTCTCAACTAGTTAAAAATCCAAAAAACCTGGGCGATTTGATATATTCATCACGACATTACATGCTTGCTATGGGCTATGTATATGAGTCACGAGTGTTTGTTTACATCGAATGGAATAGCAAAATAGGAAGTATAATGCAGCAATTTAACCATAAAAAGAGGACAGAATCATTTACATTTTGTGAAAAGTGGACATAATTTTTTTTTACTTTTACTATTTACTATGACGTAATCATTAGTACGTCGCACCGGAAACAAACTCACGTGAACGTCACCTATCTGCCTGAATGACATAATCTCCGCTAGGTTTAGTTGCTATAGGGAAGGATATATCTCACATATCTACCATATATACCTCACAACACTTGAATTGCGTAGTGTACAAACGCCTTCCCGAGTAGCACATATAGCAAACATACATGAGTTGATGGTATGTCGCATTTAGTGTGTAATATGTTTTTACTTGGTTAGTTGGTTTACTTGCAAGGTTGCTCATACTGGACTAGCTGTGGTGTTGAAGCATGCATTCTACATTATCAACTTTGTGGGAATCGGGTATGAAACAGCCCTACTGGAACATCCCTAACTCAATGCTGACTGATTAGAACTACCTCTTGATCACACTGGCCCTATACACGTAGCTCCGCTTTAATGAGGAAACTGCTATTAATATTTTTAATTTTCTATTAATTTTTAATCCTTGCAATAGTACAGCATTAATTATACAGCATAAAGTAATATAAAATAAGTATATAGTTGCAATAGTGTTAAATAGTACTTTACAAATATATACTTATAAACTTGAGCATTTTATAAGCACGTACCCGTGTATCCGGCGATGCATTGGCAGTGAGCGTGGGTCCACATGTCAACACAGACTCCCTCGTTCTCACACGTTACCTCATCACAGACGCGCGTCCTGGCACAGCCGGGCGTCGGTGAGAGGGCAGCACCGTCTAATAGCTCAGCGAGATCGAGCACGCCATCTTGAATCGCCGAGGATCTCACATCCTGCAAGAGATCACAAGGTCACACGAGGTCACATGAGGTCACCATCACACCGGTTCCTGCCACGGTGTGGCCGTGACAAACATTATTTCTAGGAAAAGCATAGGCTGTATTGAAAGGTCTTTCTAGGACCAATAATGGCTTATTTTCCTTCGACTTCAAGACTATAGTCTATCTTCCAGGACGTGGAAAATAGCATTTTACAATTCTAGGAAATTTTTTTACAGGTTTCTCAGAAACGGAGAACATTATGTTGAAACTCCCGTTGGTCGTGAACGATTCTGGATCACGTGGCGATTGTGTTAGAAATAGGGTTTTCCAGGATGCGTGTGAATCCTCTTAGATGCTCGTGAGTGTTAGAAGAACATTACACCATGAATTCATATTTATCTTGTGTTAAATCCAAGAAATTAACTTACTATCGAAATTTTAGGGCAACAAACACTATTTTTATTATGGACCTTAGTATCTGGGCCAACAGTGGCATGGCATTACAGCATGTCATGCATTTTGTCCTGTGAGTAAAAATCAATTTACTCTCATTAATGCCTGATATGCTGGCCAGAATTTCATGTCTACCAAAGCAGGTAACACTTTTTATTTGTTAAAGGCCAGCCCAGCGTGTGAATCAAATGCAAAAAGCAAACTATTCGAATGACAAATCGGTTAGTACTGCAAAACCTGGCATATGAGCGATGTCAATGCTCGTGCTTTCCAGAGGTTTTTAGCAGCTAGACATACACCAACATTGCCGTTAAGAACATTTGCGCGTATTGGCATATGCTGGTAACCTTCCACTGACTTTACAAAGGTCATGAATGAAACATCTTACAACTGAAGTGGCCACTAATGATCCATAAATCTGTACCATCTGTCAGCCTCCATAACTCTGCTCGTAGATGTGGTTGTGTGTGTGGTGTGTGTGTTGTGGTGTCGTGTGTGTGTGGTCGTGGTGTTTGTGGTGTGTGCGTGTTGCCCGTGTGTGTGTGGCGCGGTGTTGATGATGTGTGTGTGGTGTGAGTGGTGTACATGTTGTGTGTGTGTGTGTCTTGTGTGTGTGCGGCGCGCTGCGCGTGCATTGCGTGCGTGCGTCGCGTGGCGTCTGTGTGTGTGTGCTTGCGTGCTGTGAAGTTGTGTGGCGTTGTGTTGTGTGTGTGTGAGTGTGTGCGTGCGTGCGTGCGCTGACGTCTGTGTGTGTGTGTGTGTGTGTCGTTGTGTGTGTGTGTGCTCTGTGTGTGTGTGTTGTGTGTGTGTGTGTGTGTGTGTGTGTGTGTGTGTGTGTTTACCCGCCTTAGCTAACATGTCAACATGTAACAATCTGTAGTTGATC